TGGGGGATTCTAGGCAGGGGCTCTACCACTGAGCCACACCCCCAGCCCCTCACTGGGGGATTCTAGGCAGGGGCTCTACCACTGAGCCACACCCCAGCCCCTCACTGGTAGGCACACACACACTGTTTGTTTGTTTGTGTATTGATTTATTTTGGTGTTTTGAGACAGGGTTTCTCTGTGTAACAGCCCTAGCTGTCCTGGAACTCTCTTTGTTAGACCAGGCTGGCCTCAAACTCAAAGAGATCTGCCTGCCTCTGCCTCCCCAGTGCTGGGATAAAAGGCATGCACTACCACACCTGGCTCAGAGTATATATTTTTTTAATTAATGTTTGTTTAAGTTTAATTAATGTTAGTTTTAAGTGTATGGGTGTTTAGTTTCATGTATGTACATGCACCACCTGTAGAGGCCAGAAAAAGAGTATCAGATCCCCTGGAAATGGAGTTACAGATGGTTGTGAATTGCCATATGGGTGCTGGAAATTGAACCCAGATCCTCTGAAAGAGCAGCTAGTGCTCTTAGTCACTGAGCCATCTCTCCAGGCCCCTTAATCATTTTACTGTGCAGTGAAATGCATACTTACCCTATGACCCAATAATTCCATTCCTAGGTATTTATTCAAGAGAAATGCAACCTGTGTGCACATGGACCTTCATACACGAACACTCACATCAGCTCCATTCATAACAGCTCCACGTGGGAAAAGGCTCAAGTAAGTCTCCATCATGGTGAGTGGATCAACAGATTTCGGTTCATTTGGTCGCTGGTATATTACTCAGCACTGAAGGATGCATCCAGCAATGTGGATGAGTCCTGGAGGAGGAGGAAGCCAGGTTTGGGAATATGTAATAGACATGTCAATCAGAGACTAACCAGGATCCTGGAACCACATAGTCACTGGAAACACAAATGTTGATGACTCAGCTATTAAGTGTAACAGTGGCCAGGCAGATCTCTGTGAGTTTGAGGCCAGCCTTGTCTACAGAGTGAGTTCCAGGACAGGCCAGGACTACATAGAGAAATGCTGTTTGTTCTTTTGTTTGTTTGTTTTTGGTTTTGTTTTGTTTTTTTCAAGACAGGGTTTCTCTGTATAGTTCTGGTGCCTGTTGAATCTCGCTCTGTAGACCAGGCTAGCCTTGAACTCACAGAGATCTGCCCAGCTCTGCCTCCCTGAGTGCTGGGACTAAAGGCGTGCGCCACCACCGCCTGGCTTTTGTTTTGTTTTTAATGGCTCAGTGTGTAAAGGTCGTTGCCGCCAAGCGTGGGGACCTGAGTTTGATCCCTAGAGCCCATGAGGCAGAAAGAGAGAACCAGCTCCTGCCAGCTTTCCTCTGCTTACACGGGCACACACACAATTAAAACATCGCTTTGGAGCTGGAGAGGTGGCTCAGTTGTTAAGAGCATTGACAACTCCACCAGAGGACCTGGGTTCAATTCCCAGCACCCACATGGTGCTTCATAATCATCCTTAACTCCAGTTCTAGGGGATCCAGTGCCCTCTCTTCCTCAGGCACCAGGCATGAATGTGGTACAGTTATTACATTCTTGCAGGCAAAACATTTATAAACATAAACTATTTTTTGAATATTTTGTATTTTTTAATATTTATTTTATTTGTGTGTGCCTGAGTGCATGTCTGTAGTCTCAGCCACCTGGGAGATTGAGTCAAGAGGATAATTTAAGCACAGTAGTTCAAACTAGCCTGAACAACATAAGGAGATCATTGCTCAGACATGGGGGAAGAAAGGAAGAAAGAGAGGGTGGGGAGCTCCAGGAAAGGCGCAAAGCTACGCAGAGAAACCCTGTCTCCAAAAACCAAAAAAAAAAAAAAAAAAAAA